GGGGGGGGGGGGGGGGGGGGGGGGGGGGGGGGGGGGGGGGGGGAAGACATTGGCCACAAACATTACTCACCTGCCTCAGAGGTTCTCCCGGCAAAGGAAGGGAACCACCTGGCACTGGAGTTTAGGGCTGAAGGGATATCTCTCTTTAGGAGCAGGCCAAGGGCCCCATCCTCAGTAGCTCTTCGTGGGCTTTGCCGAGTTCCCCAAGCTGGGGTGGGCCGGCGAGTCCCCCGAGAAGGAGGAGCAGCAGCAGGAGGAGAAGGAGGTCCTACCTGCGGGAGGTGGTAGACCCCCCACGCCTTGGCAGTAATCCTGGGGAGAAGGGGAGGAGCCTCACCCAACCTGGGGTTGTCTCCTCCCCTTTGGGAGAGTCCCCCTCCCCTCAAAACTGACTCCTTCAGGGGTGAAGGGCTTCTTCTGTCTGCTGGAGAATTAAGGGGAGAGGGACTGCCCTGTTCCACTTTCTAGGTCCTAGGAAGAAGCCCGCGGACTTGGGGTGGGGATGTTGTTGCCCTTTCCTGAGTATGGGAGGAATCTAAATTCTCCCCTTCCCTGCTGTGTCCTCTCAGCCCCCGGGTCCTGGCACTCTTCTCGGCTCTCGCCAAAGGAGAGCGGGCACGAGACGGGGGAGGGCGCAGGGCGCCTTTCTCCTTTTCCCCTTTGCCCAGAAAGTCTGGAACTAAGAAGTGTGTGTCTACGCAGGAGGGTGGGAAGGAGGGTGCCCTTGCTTTCCGGGGTGGGACGCGCTCCCCCGGGGCACGGCCTGGGCTCTAGGGGTCTCCGGTCCAGCGGAGGCCGGCCGGGCGCCCCGGGCGCGGCGTCTCGCCTCTCTTCGCGCTCCGCGGAGGCTGCCCGGCTGGTCGGGCAGGGAGGCCGCGCCTCCGGGCTCGGGCTCGGGCTCGGCGTGGGGGAGCAGCGGCGGCAGCCCGGCCGCCTCGTCCCCCGGGGCCCGCGGGGCTGCCCGCGCCGCCACCCCGGACGCCACGCTATCCGGACTCCACGCGAGCGGGGAAACTGCCGAGCATACGCGCAGTCCCCGGGCTCGGCTCGGGCTCGGCTCGGGCTCCGGCTGCGCTCCGCTGCAGGCCCCGGCTCCTCCCCGGCCTCCGCGCGGTTCCTCGCCCCCCTCCTCTCGTGTCCCCGCCCCCCGGCCCAGCCCGGCAGTTACGGCCGGCGTCTCCCCGCCTGGGTTAAGGAGGCTCGGGGAGCTGCAGGGGTTCGCTCCCACCTCTCCCTGGGCAGCCCAAGGCTCTTTCCCTCCCGCTAGATAATCGCCACCTCCGCCCACCCATGCCGAAGGGATGAGCAGCCCCGGGAGCATCCGAGATGCTCTATCCACCTAGAGTAAGAGGCGCGGAGTTTAAGTGTCAGAAGCCTTGGGGGTCCAGTAGCTTGTGACCTTGGGCAAATTGCAGCTTCTCTTATCCTTATTTGTAAAATAAGAGGCTACCCCCCACCAGACTATGAGGCTCAGGTGAGTTAATATCCATGCATCCCAAAGTCTTTTATGGAATGGTAAAATCAAGTAAAGAAGCTTTTATTAAGCGCCTATTATTTGCCTGGCACTATTCTAAGCGCTGGGGATACAAATAAAGACAAAAAACACCCTGTCCTCAAGGAGCTCATAGTCTAATAGGGAGGACAACATGCAAAAAGCGATGTACAAACAAGCTATACACAGAATAAATTGGTCATCCCAGAGGGAAGCCACTCGCATTAAAAGGGATAGGAAAAGCCTTCCTGCAGAAGGTGGGATTCTTAATACCATAGAAAAGCAAGGTACTGGAACTCTTCTGAAGCTCATTTGACAATTCCATTAACATCTCACACCCAGAACTTCACTTCCTGACCCTTTACAGGACAAGCTTATATTCCCTTCAGCTCCCCCTTCAGGCCCTCTTTTACCCTCGATACATATTAACACCACTGTACAATCTTTTTTTTTTCTTCTTTTTTTGGCTTCTCTATCCCTACTCCCCCTTGCTCCCTCAACTTCCTTCCCCACTGGAAAAAGATGAACAAAGCACTTGTAACAAATAGGGATAGTAAAAACAAATTCTCTCATTGGCTGTGTCTAAAAATGTCTCTTATTCTGCATCTTGGGTCAATCACCTCTCTCTCAGGAGGCACATAGCCCACTTCATCACATTAATCCTCTGGAATCGTGGTTGGTCATTAAACTGATCAGAGTTTTCAGGTCCTTCAATGTTGTTTTTTCTTTATCACGTTGTAATTTTATAAATTGTTCTCATTTTAGCATCAATTCATACAGGTCGCCACTGCACAACCTTACAATCTCCTTGGACATCTCCCACCTACCCTTTAGTCTGTTGACTCTTCCCTCCCCATAACGGCCCCTTCAGCATCCACTTCACAAATACCGTGACGATAATAAAACACTAGTCATAAAGTATATGAGCCGATTTATCATATAAATCGCTTATTTGAATATAATTATTTATATGCTGTGGCTCTCATTTGATTGTGAGTTCCTTGAGGGTAGGAACTGTCTTTACCTTTCTCTGTAACGCCAGCGCTTAGCACACTGCATGGCACAAAGCAGGCACTTAATAATTGTTTCTTGATTGATTGAAGCCCTCAGGGACAGATAAGCCATATTGCAAGGTCTTTAAATTTATCTCTGGATAATAAAATCCTTTTCTCGCCTCTTCTCCTTACCCTCTAAATACCATTGTGATACCTTTAAGTCATCTCTAGAGGACTAAAGTTTTGGGGCAAAGACTGATCTGGAAAGGATGCAGGAGGATAATGGAGGGTATCATAGGGCTGCAGGATTGGGAGATTATTTCAATCAGCAAAGCACAAAGCTGGAAAAGCAGAGTCTATAGAGAAAGTGGCATTCGCCTTGCTTTGAGGTCCAGACAGTCACAACTGCCCTGCTCCACCTTAAGATGGTTCAGTCACTCCCCAGCAACCAGCTCCTCCCTCTTCCCCTCTTCCCCCCCTCCACCCCTGCAGCTTGGACTCAGGAACCTGTGTATGGGAGGAGAGTCGCAGCAAGAAACGCGCAGAAAAAGGAGATTGACACTAGAGCTGGGGGGCAGGGAATCCAAAAAGGCTCCTAGGTTGGGTGGCCTGACATGGGGAGTGAGGGCATACCACTAAAAGGTTGGCCTCTTTCCTGGAAGCTGTAAATGATCAGAGGGTAGGGGAGTAGGGTAAAGGGCCCAACTTGGCCTGGGGTGGAGGAAGAAGGAGAAGGCTGCGTCCTTTGAAGTAAATTCCACTCTGCGTTCACCAGGCTTTAACTGGAAGTTCTGCTAATTGTAATCTTCCTCAAACCCATTCCCAAAGAGGGGTCAAGCTTCTATTCCCCTCCCCTAGTGCTCTTTCTCTCTCTGTGATTGGTTAGAGTCTGAGTAGGTTTGGCACAAATCTGCTTTTGAATTGGTAAATATAACAGTCTGTCATGAGCCGGACACAAGCAAAAGAGAGGAGGCTGCATGGGCAGGAAATGGTAAAGAAATTGACCCCGCCCCTTTGGCCTACAGATTGGTTAAAGTTGGGGATGACGTAAGAAAAAGCATAAACAAAGCAATGCAGAGACGAGGTTCCCATTGGTTTCCCAGTTCTCGCCGGCTTAGTTTTAGGTTTGGGAGGCGGAACGAGGAGAACCCAATTATTTTACAGAAAAACGGAAGGGAAAGAGAACCCGGAAATAGGAAGAGATGAGCATAGGAGAAGATAGAAGGTATAATTAATTAGTGGAGCCCACCAGGGTACCACCCTCACACAAGTACATCGTCTTGTGTGTGGGTTGTTAACCCATTAAAGTCAACATACTTTACAACATCGTGGTGACCCGAAATGTAAGCAATACTTCCTTACGCTTTTCATTTGTTCCCAACACACCTGTTAACACATGACCTCATATCTCTTAAGAGGGAGGGAAGGAGGAAGGCAGGAAAGAAAAAAACACGTCTGTTCCTGGAGATGACAGACAGAGGCACAGAGAAGCTTACGGATTGGTCCCTGGCTCACACAGCATCATCTTGCCCTCCGTAGGTTTCCAGGTGGTTTTTCCATCACTTTACATGTAGCAGAAGGAGTGGAAGGAAGGTGGGGAGCTAGTATATGGCACCAGAGTGGCAGGTTCTTTACAAGTAATTTGGCCTAATGAAGAAAAAGCCAAGTTATGTCAAACTCTTGGATATGTTTTCAAATATAAATCTTTTCACCTGTGGCAAAAGTTTTCCTAATTGCCTTCAATGAAGTCCTTTTGCTCCTTATACCTATCTCAACAGTTTGTTTCATATTTTTCTAATGCATTTATATAAGGACACTTCCAACTCTAAGTCTGTTATTTTATTTTTAAATTGTAGTTATTGTATTTTGTACTGTTGTAATATTGTAGTATTATATCACTACTAAATTAGAAACTATATAATGGCAGGACCTATGTCTTACCTAAACTTGTATCCCCAGTGCCTTGCACTATGCTCTGCACATAATAGATAATAAATGTCTGTTGAATTATATGAGTTGCAATTTGAGGTAGCCCAACTTTGTATGTAATATAAGTGGTGTATTTCTGGAAAGACTTAGGAAATAGGAGAGTGAAGGGATAACAGATTTAGCAGATATATGCCCCTTTGCAGCATTGTAGACAAATAAACAGCTGTCTTCCCCTTTACCAGCAATCTCAGTCTCTAATAGTTCAACTCAACAATTTGTTAAGGCAGAGCCAAGGTGGTGAAGTAAAGGTAGGGACTCACTGGATCTCTTCCAATTTCCCCCCAAACAACTTTAAAATAATGCTTCCAAATGAATTCTGGAGTGGCAGAACCAACAAAAGGAAGGAATGAAACAATTTTTCAGCCTAACAGTTTAGAAGGTCTACAGGAAAGATCTGTCTCACTTGAATGAGAGTAGAGCAAAGTCCAGCACAGCAGCAAAGCCGTCAGTAGGCTGGGCCCTGAAAAACACACTGAATCAGTAGCAGTGACTTCCAAGAGCTCTTAACCCACTCATGGTAACGGGGCTAGACAATTTGGTCAGAAGAAAATTAGAGGGGACACTTTGCTGGCACTAAGTGCAGGACTCTGTTGCATTGCCCATATGGGGATCCAGGTTGCAGGCCCAGTTTGTAGTTCCAGGTTGAGGAGCAGCACTAGCACACTAGAGCTCAAAGCCACAAGGGAGTAGAACACTGATCACAGTTCCAGAGCAGAAAAAAGTGCTTGTGGTCATTCATAGACCAGAGCACAGGCCAGGAGAGCAGTGACCAAATATCTCCTTAGATCATACCACTTTGGAATAACTGAAAACTTACAGGTCCCCAGAATTAGCTCTAAAATCAGCAGCATAAAAAATCTAAAGGTTGGAACAGAGCTCTCTCAACCCAAGGAACAGAGTCCTACTTTAACATAAAGTTAAAAGATAAGACATAGGCTGGGAAAATGAACAAATAACAAAAAAAGAACCTGACCAAAGAAAATTACT